ATCAGTTGATAAGATCCGATAAGAGGCGTTCAGAAGGGGAGGTCACCATATTCATAACGCGGGTGACAGCATCAGCTAGCTCTTGATTCCAAGATATGATAAAGGGTATGGGCCAAGAACATTATTGGTGGGTGACAAGAACTGTAAGCTGCTGATAAGATTCGATAAGGGGCGTTAGAAAGGTGAGGTCACCGTGTTCACAGTGCAGGTCACAGCATCAGAGAAGCATACTTTTCAGGTGATATAGAGAGTAAGATGGGGACATCAACCGTGGGTGACTGGAAGCGATAACTACTGATAGGGGCTGATAAGGGAGTTGCAGTCGTCGTCGCTGTTCAAGGTGGTTCACGCTACCAAATCATAGATTTCAGTGATGAGGACATTGATGACGGGTGACAGGTAATCTTATCAATCGATAAAAACAGATAAGATACCATCTGCGCTACATTTTTATCACTTCTTACCGCTATAATGCCGAGTATTAGAGCTCAGTGTGTGAACTCTTTCCTTTGATGGCAACAGAATCAAGGTCGTCCATTAAGTATTTGCTTTAAGATTCATGCAATGGTGTCAAGCGAGGGGGGTATAGTGCGGCTGAAACGGGAAAATCGGGAAATTCATCAATCAAAAGTAATTTTCGCAAATCTGCCTGCTATGTGATGTGTTAGGAGGTGGCGGTCGCAACTGAAGCAAAATAAGGAGGGAACCCAACAACTGGGAGTGGGGACGTCCTGTCGGTGGTAACATTCGAGCTCTCCGTGCGACATACACTTTGACATGTACAAGCAATCTAAAGTTCTCCTTTTCAGTGCCACTCATGACTATGCAGTTATTCAACATTTTCCATTCTGATGTCGCAACTGCGGTCCTTTATGATATGGATGCAGCCTTCTCACGGTGAAAGTCTGCAGTAAGCAAGGGGGACCAGCTGTTGGTAGATAATAATTGATGTTGAGCTTCGTGAAACAGGAGGGGAACCCGGCGGCAGCCTGGTGATCCGACTGGTACCGCATAAGAAGTGAAACATTTTTTGATCGCCCAGTCCGCAAGACCAACAGCTGTACTTTCAAAAGCATGTTTAATATGCACCGCTATGGTCTACATTCGACTGGCCCAATAATTTAGATTTTCCTTCAGCGTCTTGGTCCGCAAACAAACTTAGTGAAGTATGTTTTTAGTAGTTTAACTGGACCTCTCGCCTATCAGAGCTGTAATGAGTACCCTACTATTGGTAGTTATTAGGGATTACCTAAACTACTTCACTACAGAGAAGGGGCGAATGAACAAGCTTACCTTGATCTTGTGGAGCTAGCTGCTTGCGCTCAGAGGATTCTTTCGCTGTTTGCATTTGCTCTGCAAAAAATATACCGCATAACAAGTAAAACTTTTTTTGATTATCCTAGTTGGTAAGACCGACAGCTGTAGTTTGGAAGCATGCTTAGTATTGCACGTCACCTACACACCCAGGTCTAGCTGTGGTCTACCTTCGAGGGGCTCAGTAATTCAGGTTTTTCCTTCTGCGCTTTGGTTCGCGAACACTTTTACCAAAGTTAGCTTTTAATTGTTCACTTGAACAACTCGCCTATCAGAGCTGTAGGGAGTACCTTACTATTGGTAGTTATTAGGGATTACCTGAACTATTCACTACAGAGAAGGGGCGAATGAACAAGCTTACCTTGATCTTGTGGAGCTAGCTGCTTGCGCT